CTTTCCAGAGCGGGAAGATCTTCTCAACTCATCTTTGCCTGGGACTCCAAACCTGGTGATTCTCGGTGTCACTTTTAGGTCCCTTCTCCAGAGCTCAGAGCCCTGACGTGGAAGGCAGGGCTCTGATCCTCACTGGTGCTTTGATGCGGGTTCTCCCATGGAGAGGAGCAGTCTCTTCCAGAAAGTGGACAGTGAAGGAAGTGAGAGGGAGAGGGACTGAAAGAATATTTTGGGCCTGTCAGAGCCAAGAGACTTAGTAGGAAAAAGGGCCCAAATGCTGCAAAGGGATGTCAAAGGTGAGAGATGGGAGGACCTGGCTTTATGTGAAAAGTGTCACTGACAATTTTCTGGAAAGCAAAGTGTCATTTCATTGCACATTTACCTGCAAAACTCATACAGCATCCAGCCAAAGTTTTCTAGTTTTTACTATGTGCCAGGCATTTCCCATGCACTATTTTGTTTAATTTTTACAACAAACCTGTAAGGAAGTGATATCACGGGCAGATGAAGAACTGGAAGTCAGAAAGGTTAAGAAATGCATCCAAGGTCACACAGGCAGCTGGTGACAGAGCAGGAATCTCCAGCCTTGGTTTTCCAGCTCCCGATCACAGCTGCATTGCAGCCAGGGCAGGGCTCTGCCTGGTGTTCTCTTATATCTGTGCCTCAGGGGGTTTGAAATATATTAGAAATGGGGGGAGAGTTGCAGGGGCACTTGTTTGACCCTCCAGGCGCTTAGAGGGGAAACTAGAGGATGTCTGTATTAAAATCTTACAGCGTGAAGGTTAGTTCTGACCCCGACCCCTGCATCCCCTCCCCCTGAAGTTGTTGTCCTTATTGTTTGTCATCCAGCCTTACTAAAGGGCATGCAGAGGAGGCCAGAGGAACAGGTAATGCCAATGATTAACCTGTCCCCTGGGCAGAGACTCCCACTGATTTTCTTCACCTTCACTGAAATAATAAGTAGCAATTATTGAGTACCTTCTATGTGACAAGTACAGCTTTTAAGCACTTTCACTGATTTCGTCAATCCTCAAAACAGCCCTGAAGAGTAGGTATTCTTATTTTTATATCTAAAGAGACTGAGACTGAGAGAAGGCAAGTAACTTGCCCAAGATCACTCAGCAATTTTTGTCAGAGCCGGGAATTTCAGGTCAGGACTGGTTGATTTCAATGCTTCTTGCAAACTTTTAAGCTCTGTTAACACATGCTGGTTGCTAGAAGGAAAAGAAGAGAAAGGCAAATATGAAGAGTGGTTAGGGTTAATCCTAATCCCTTGTCCACTTCCCTCCAAGGCACCATTGCCACAGCTTCCCTGCCAGTTGTCCTAAAAAGAAATTGTTTTGGCTGTACAGGTTTGCTCCATAAATTGGAGTAGCATCTGGTCTTAGCAGAGAGCCAGGCATTCCAGGAGCCCATAACCGAGGGCCCGGATGACTCCTGGTTTGAGCGACCAGCTGGCACCAGCTCCCCAGGGAATATGTAGGCAAAGTCTGAGCTGAAGGCCAGTTATTCATTTCCCCAAATGAGGAGACCCAGGAAAAATGGTCTTTTTAGGGCCCCAGATATGATCCAAATCCAGTCTGCACCCCTTTCTTTAGTGTTCCAGTAATGATGCTATGTTCATTTAAGAGCCTGACCCTTTCTCAAGCACTGAGGCTCATGAAATCCTGGGGAAGCAGGGAGACCCCTTTTCCCAGGCACCCACACTGGCGGGGGGAGTCTCTGCCTCTGGCTCTGCCATAGTCCCTTCTCCAGAATCTGTAAATCCACACGGTGCTGGAAATGAGTTTGGAATCAAAACTCATTAGTGGCAAAAACCAGACAGGACCTTATTTATCTCTCTTAGCGTGAATATGTATAGGTTTTGCCGCAGAAACCAAGCTAATAGATCTGATTATGGTATGCTGCTGCTGCTGCTGCTGCTGCTGGGTGTTATGTAACCTGTGGTATTTGCATCACCTGTTCTTTCTGAAATCCAAAACATTCTGCAGTCTGGCCCCGCAGGCTCCAGTTAAGGGGTGTGGCCTTGTTTTATAATGCACTGTGTTCAAGCAGGAAGGTCATATCCTGCCTAGGAAGCAGATGGTTTACTACTTAGATTCATAAAGAGAGCCTTCCCAACCCTCTGTGGTCAGACAAGGTGCCTGGAATTCCTTCACGCAGGGAGGGGTTCATTCTTTGCTGTCTTCCCTGAGAGGTGGATGACACCAGAAGTCGCTTATACCTGTATGTGAATTAGTCCTTTTAGATTTTTCCTCGTGGGAGAAGGCATCTTGAGACAAGTGGGTACTCAGAGAGGGCGACCAAGGGCTAATGGGAAGGAGGATGGGACGGGACAGAGGTCTCAGGCAGGCCCTGGGTAGGGCAGAGAGCCGGGCAGAGAGCCTGCAGGCGGCACTGGGGAAAGATCTAAACACAGCATCGAGCCAGGCCGGGACCATGACCGAGCCAACAGGGCTCATCGCTCACCGCTCTCTGAGCTTTGGTGCACAGAGTGCAGCCATTTCGTGGCCTTCAAATTATAGACACCCTTTCCTTGTCAGGGGTCAGTCAGGGCTGCTGGGTCAGGACCAGGGGAGGCCCTGCACAATGGCTTTCCAGCTCCCCCAGGACCCGGTGGTATCAAAAGTGTGTCCCAACCTGGATGGGACCAGCGATCGTTTTCTAAAGGCGCTGGCCAATGTCGGGATGGAGAGGCCAGGGACATCTGAGGCCGCGTCTTTTCCGTTTTCGGAGGTTCCGGTTATTTACTAATGAAGAAATGCCAAAACATGGTTACACACATGTGGGTCCACTTAAAGTTGTCCGTGGACGGTGCCGTCTTTTTGCAACCCCGCATAGCCTGTCTGTGACTGCTGGGCTGTTTGGGGGCAGTGAGAATGTGAGGCGAGGCGGCTGGGGCGCCCCCTACCGGATGCGGCCTGCCGCACTCAGCCATGGAGTCGGGGCTGCTGCGGGCTGTAGGGGCGCTCACTCCGCCACCTGGCGGCAGAGGCGGGAACTGCGGGGCGCACCGACTCGGAGCCCCGCGGGCCCGGCCCGGGGCCTCCCGGCGGCCGAGGCAGCAAAGGGTTAAGCTGTCAGCAGCGCGATGTTAAACAGGTGTCAAAGGCGCCCCATATATCTGCAGATTGAAATCAAATTCTTTGCCGTATAAAAAGATAAATTACCCAGGCGCTGCCGCGCGTCCCACTCATCACGCCAGCGCCAGACGGCAAGCAATTTTTTTTTTTAATGTGCTAACGACCTAATCAAGCAATCAAGTCTGAGAAGATTGCAGAGTGACCGGGGCAGCCATCTGCCGGCGAGCCCCGCATTCATTTCCCGCGCCCCCGCGCGGGGCGGAGCCGGGGAGGGAGCTGCCGCGGGGAAGAGGGGAAAAAATCCTACACAAATTAACACCCAATTTTCCCCGTCTAATTAGTTAAATGAGAAGTGTTTGGGGTCCCCTGGGGAGGGGGAGCAGTGCGCGGCGCGGCTCGCGCTGCCTCCCCAGCATTAATTAGTGCGGGTCAATGCCACGGCTCCCGGGAGAGCAGCCGCTTTAATTTCCCGTGATATTTCAGTGCCTGAGGCCCATCGATTCAAACTGAAATTAACTTATTTTTCAATCAGCCCAGGGCTGCCCCTGGGGGTGACTCTTCTTTTGCCGCCTCCTGAATAGAGCTGGAGCAATTTTTCATCAAAAGCTGAAACCTCCGCTTCCGAGGGCGGGGGAGGGGGCCCCGGAGGGAAAGGGGAGGACAAGGCGAGGCGAGGGAATGGAAATCGCAGAGGAAACTAATAGATTTCTCCAAAGCACCTCTGCCCTCCCCTCTGCTCCCCTCTTCCCGGGGCTCCTTGGGTGTCTGGCCGCCCTGGGGGAAGGGCCGAGGGGCTGTGAAGGGTCAAGAGGAGCTCTGCCGGGCCTGGGGTCCTTCCAGCACCCAGGTTTCCTGCGAGCCTTCCACCCGCTTGAGGGACAGTTGCACCACCGGTCCCCAATTCTGGCTCTGGCTCCTGTCAGCTGCTGGAAGTCTCAGGAAATCTTCTTTGGGAGACCCAGAAATCTCCCCTCCCCCAAGCACGGCGGGGACCCTGGAAGCCCCTCCAGGCAGGGCTGGAGAGCTGCAGACACTCACTTCCAGGTCAACCCCACTCCCATTCTGACCCTGCACCAGTCAGTTTGGGGGCCAGAGAAACATTCCCTCGAGGGCCCCCCCACAATACTTTCCTAGGTCCTCACTCCCATTTGCTTCTCATACCACTGAGAATTTCTTCTTTCTTCCCTGACTCGGGGATGGCTTCCAAACTCCCCCAATTATCAGTTGGGTTCAAAGCTGTGGAGAGATGGATGGAGGGCCCTCTGGCCTGGCAGAGCTCAGGACAGGACAGGGCATGGGAGGGAGCTGACTCGGGCCTCCTGGGAGCATCTCCAACCCTGCTTTGGGGCTGGGGCAGTTCCCAAGCTTCTTGATGCCTAGATGCAATGCCCTTTGCTCAAGTCCACGCTCTCCAGGAAGCCTTCATGGGGCTGCTCTAGGCTCTGGAGTCTGGTGGAAAGGGAGCTCTGAACACTGTAAGTCCAGCCCTGCAAAGGAACTTGTCCCTGGCAAGTCAGAAGAGAGATTCTGCTTATACAGTGGAGGTGTGAGCACTCACAAGAGAGTAGCAGGGTCAGGCTTCTCAGCTGCAACTGAGGACCACACTGGGAACTGCTCACCTGCCAGACTGTCCTACAGGTATCCCCCATCCTATCCAAAAAAGAGAGGGTGAGAGGAGAGACCCTTTTTACTCACCCTACTCTCACAGGACATGGGTCCTCATTCTGGTGGGTACCCCTGAGCCTGGAAGAAGCCCCTGGGTGCCACGGGACAGGTGAGCTTGAGTAAGGACACCGGCCTGGAGAAACCAGCAATCACAAGGCTATGAGGCCACCAGCTCCAGACAGACATGGGGGCAGAGGCCAGGGCCCAGTGCCTCTCAGAGCACACCCCTGACCTGTTCGCCTACACCTGCAGGTCTGGTTCCAGAACCGCAGAGCCAAGTGGAGGAAGCGAGAGAAGTGTTGGGGCCGGAGCAGCGTCATGGCGGAGTATGGGCTGTACGGGGCCATGGTGCGGCACTCCATCCCCCTGCCCGAGTCCATCCTCAAGTCTGCCAAGGATGGCATCATGGACTCCTGCGCCCCATGGCTGCTGGGTAAGAGCCCGCACCCTCCTTGGGGCCCTGCCTCTGTGGCAAGGAGAGTGGGCTCCCTGGAGGAGGAGACAGAGCCCTGGAGCAAAGGGACCAGGCCACAGCAGCCTGGCAGGAGGGAGGCCCTCCAAAGCAGGACACCCCCTACCCCTTGGGCAGCTCCGAGGACAGGCTGAGCCTGGGCCTTGGTGTACCCACCTTGTACCCACCTATGGGTGCCTAGGACTTTCATCCTGGACAGGTCCCTGACTGTGGGTTCTTTTGTCCTGTGAAGAGAGTGTAACTGTGGCCCCAGGATCTGTACCCTTTCTTCCCTCCTGGGAGGTGGGCTTCTGATAAATGAAATTGCCCCTCTTGGGGGTTGGGGGACCCGTAGGTCCCTTTGACCACTCTTCTGGCTTTGCCCAGGGGACTTCTTCCCCCTAAATCTCTCCACCTGCCACCTTCCTCCACCTGCCGTCTGGGCCTATGTCTGATAGCAGCACCAGCCTATCTGGGGGCTCTAAGATCTGGAATCCCATGAGGGAGGGGTGGGGGAGCAAGTGCTGTGCTCCAGCAGGGAGAGAACAGGCTGCCAGGGGGCCAGGCGCCCAGGGGCTTGGCTGGGAGAGGCCGAAAGCCTCCCTCCCACTGCCCCAGCCCTGGCCCTGGGACTCGCGTGACTGCGGTGTGTGAAGTAAGGCTTTCTGCTTGTCCTTAATGCTGGCCTCTCTCTATCTTTGCCGTTTTCAGTTCAAGATGGCTTTCCCAGGCGCTTTTCTAAACCCGAATACCAACAATTCTTTTTAGGAATGCACAAAAAGTCGCTGGAGGCAGCAGCCGAGTCGGGGAGGAAGCCCGAGGTGGAGCGCCAGGCCCTGCCCAAGCTGGATAAGATGGAGCAGGAGGAGCAGGGCCCCGACCCTCCGGCCGCGGCAGCCATGTCCCAGGAGGAACTGAGGGAGAACAGCATTGCGGCGCTCCGAGCCAGAGCTCAGGAGCACAGCACCAAAGTGCTGGGGACTGTGTCGGGGCCCAACAGCCTGGCCCGGAATGCCGAGGAGCCGGAGGAGGAGGCCATGGATGAAGACAGGCCGGTGGAGAAGCTGAGTCCGCCGCAGCTCGAGGACGTGGCTTAGGTCGAGGCAGCCCTGCCACTGCAGCCCCAGGACTCTGCTCTTCTCAGGGGCCTGTGCCGCTGGGAGGTGTTCCCTGAGGCAGGGCCTGGCCTGGCCTTAGCCACCGCCCCCCCGCCCCATAGGCCCTCTATGACCCCCAGGTGACTTCAGACACAGCTCAGCGCTGGCCAAGGCTTTGGGCCGGGCTGAGATATCCCCTACCTAGTCTTGACCTCCTCAGCGTCCCCCTCGTCCCAACAGCCCTGCCTCAGAAGCCTTTTTGCTGCCCCCAACCACCCCCTCAAGCCGCTTTCACTCCATCCCTTGGCGACTCTCACTGTCCAGACCCACGCCCCACTCTGCGCTCTTGCTCTAGAGCCTCTGTGGATGCTGCTCCTCTTTCTCCCTGCCCCCAGGCTCAAAGTCCATTGCCTGACACAGCCCTGTTAGGGACTGAGGACCACACTCCAGGGCCAATGTCCTGAGTGCCCCAGCCCTCAGCCAAATTCTGCTCCCCTCCGCCTGTTCCTTGCTGGGGCCGGGGCGTGGGTCTCCACCGTGTGAATGTACTGCCCCACAGGCCCAGGCACACCTTTGCTCTACCCCACCAATGGGGCCCGGAGTCCAGGCGAAACTTGGGAAGCCTCAGCCTGGGCACCCTGGACACCCTCCATCTCATGCCCTCCATGGTCACCCGCAGGAGCCTGCCCCCTCTGCGCCCAGCCTGCCCCACCATCCCTCCCAGCACAGCCGCCAGCACGGCGTGTGACAACGAACAGTACCTGCAGTGCATCCGGGGTCTGCGCCCTGCGGCCCGGGGCACTGCTCACAAACTGTGTGGCTCTCTGCCCTGTTGGCCTGGTGGGGAGGCCAAACGCTCTACCAGGGCCCTTGGGGCTGTGTTCGAAAGCACCCCGACTCCCCCGATATGCCACCTGGGACCCTCACTTGCTGTGCAAGCCACCCTTCTCCTAAAGCTTCTCACAAAGGACTGGTTTGCATGTGCCCTGCCTTGGAGCAACCCAATCTAGCTGCTACATGAAACCCTGGGAAGCCACAGATCTTGACTCAACTTCATCCAGGAGGCCCGTAGGGAGCCAAGCCTGGAGTGGGCCTGGGGCTCCGTATACTCATCAAATGTTAGGGTGGAAGAAAAAGCTGGAAGGAGAGTAAAGCAGGAGCCAGTGTTAGGCTGAAATGAAGCAATAGGCACACACACCTTCACGCCAGGTGCACGCGGCGGTGCAGCCACTGAAGTGGGACTGACAGCGACCGCGCAGGAGTAGGGGCTGCGGCTTCTTCCCGTCGCTCGATGGGAGGCCCGCGTTGGTGGCCTCTCTGCAGCTGTCCCTCCACCCCCAGGCCAGGCACGCGTCCCCCTCACCCCCATGGCATTTCTTTGCCTTCCTACCCACTTCCGCAGGGAATACCTCGTGAGAGAAAGGCTTGAGACAGTGAATTGGGGTTTTAATTCCCTATCAAAAGTTGATTTCTTCTTCATTCCGGCCATGGAACTTTTCCGCGGTTCTTCTTGTCTTTGTCCCCTGCTGGTTTGAAGTGTTAGACTGTAGCCCCTGGTGTGTAAATAATGTACATAGAGTGAGAAGAAAGAATCTGGATATGGAGGTGTTTGAAATATGGAACTGTAATAACTTCTAGGTATTCTACACCTGTGACTTCTGTGCCATTTTCTGTAAAGATATGAGTAAGAATAAAATTGATGTAAAACCAGCAGGGGAGGGATCCAGGAGTGCTCCCTGGGTGAGGAGGTTTGTGTATGTGTGTATGGCTAGCAGAAAAAGCAAATCCATGAAGTCATTTTTAAGTCAAAATTATTAAGATTCCTCTTTTTAAATTACTCCAACTGTAGAGGCACCATGGCCTGCCTTTCTCCACTGAGCTGACATTTGTCGCCTTTCAATGGCATTTATCACTGTGATACAGGACCCTCCTCCGCTGCAGGCACATCTAAAACATTCCAGCCCTCGAGCCCCTAACTTATTACCTATGATTCCCTCCTGCTCCCCCCACAACAGATTACACCGACCTTTCCCTCTGGGACCCACTTACAAACAGCCCTGTTTCCCTCAGACCTCAGGTGAAGCTCACAAGCCTGCCTCGGCCCCCAACAGTCCTGACTCCCTTCCTTTTGTGTACACGTGTGTGCTTGAAGAACTTACTCACAACATTAATTACACAATGACAAATGGGAAAGGCAGTCGTATCTGGAACTGAAAGTCAGGTGAACCTCTGCCAAGTCCCTGTCCAAGAGAAGGGAGTAAATAGGGGAAGCAGCCGAGGAAGGCTGCGTGCGTGCGGCTGCCTGCAGGCAGCGGGGCCTGCCCGCTCGATGGTGTGCTGGGTGGAGTTATAGCTGCGAGAGCGCAGGCAGCAGAATGGACGGGGTGTATTTGAGTGTTGGCTCAAGAAATCGCCTAAGATTGTTTCACATTGGCTCAGAGGTGGAACTCATTGTCACCCCTGGGCCAGGGAAGCCTTCCCTCACTCTGCTCACCCCCAACACTCATCCTCCAAGACCTCTCCTCCAGGAAGGGCTCAGGCCCTGTTTTCTCACAGCACAGGGGACAGTCCCGCATTAAGACATTTTATGCATTATGTTGTAACTTCTTATTTACCAGTCTGTCTCCCCAAAAGACTGATTTCTTCAAGGGTGGGGATCATAGCGTATTCATTTTTTGACAGTGTGGAATGAATGGATCTCCTTTCTCTAACTCATCCATTCATCCAATAACTTAAAAACATTAATGGAGCATCTGTGTATCAGCCAGCGGACAAGGCACTGGGGATCAGGTGGTGGGCAAAGCTGTCCTGTTTGGAGGGAAGAACAGATAGAATTCAAGCAATCACACAAATAAAACACAGAATTGCAAATGTTCCAAGGTGTTGGAAGTGTGAGATAAGGGACCATGAAGGCATAACCATGGGGTCCCGGCCGGGTATCTCGGCTGGTTGGAGTGTTGTCCTGATGTGCAAAGGTTGCGGGTCAGTCTCCTGGTCCGAGCGCATACAAGAGTCAACCGATTTCAGGGGGGGGGAGGGGGGGGGGGCAGGGAGAGGGAAAAACTGGGACAACTGTAATAGCATAAACAATAAAATATAACTTAAATTTAAAAAAAAATCAACCAATGAACGCATGATTGGGTGAAGCAACAAACTGATGCTTCTCTCTGTCTCCCTTTCTCTCTCTTAAAAAAAAAAAATCACCAGGAAACTTGGGTCAAGGTGTTTAACCTTTGAGGCCTTTCTCTCCTGTGCTCTAACCCAGAATAATGTCAGCTCAGCCACTCACAGTGTTGCAAGGTCCCAGAGGAGCACAAGGGAAGGGTGGCCACACCCAGGCGGCCTCCTGCCTGGGAAATGTCCTTGGCAGCTGCCCCACCCTCAGACCTGGAAGACGGTTGGGACACTCAGAGGCTCGGGAGCTGCCAGAAATCCTCCTGGACACTCAGCCCAGGGGATTAACCCTGGGAGAGGCACGCAGCTCTCTGCAGAGGGACATCGGGCAAAAGAGCCTCTACAGGTAATCAAGGGAGGGAGAGGCTGGGCCGCTGGAAAGGGAAGAAACTGGGCAGGAAAGGAGGGGCCTGGTCAGCAGGGCCCGACAGGGAGCACAAAGAGATCTTGCGAGGTGTTGACTGTAGTCCCGTGGGGGGCTTCTCAGGCCCCCAGTGCCTGGAAGGGAAATTTTATTCCAGGCTCCACAGGCCCAACAGGCTGTGTGCACCAAGAGCAAGAGAGTACAAAAGGGCAAGAAGCCCTGATTTATGAGGGCTGCTTGGAGCTGCTAAGCAGGCCTGGCAAGGATAGATGAGGAGTCTTGGCAAGAGGAGGCAACGATGATAGTGCGGGAGATCCTGGGGCCCGGTGCTGTGGCCTGCAAGACAGTGGGGCCTGAGCTGAGGCATCTCTGGGGCCTGGTCCACCCAGCCTGCTGTCTCCTGTACCCCCAGCTCACTGGGGCCTGGGGGCCTTCCTCCTGCTCCCAGCAGAGGTTCAGTGCCCTGTCCTCTCAGACTCCCCCAGGGCGTGGAGGCGTGGCACACCACCTGGCTCATCAATTATAGCAAAGTTTCCACACTAATGTAAGACGTGACTCATGGGGGAAACTGACAGAGGGGTGTACTAGAACTCTCTGTACTGTCTTTACCATTGTTCTATAGATCTAATATGGCTATAAAAATAAAATTTATTTTAAAAAATGAACCAGTTTAAGCCCTGACCAGGTGGCTCCATTAGTTGGACATTGTCTGGCAAAGTGAAATGTTGCCAGTTTGATTCCTGGTTTGGGCCCTGGGTGGGGGGAATGGGGGGGTGGGGAATGCGTGTATGAAAGGCAATCAATAGATGTTTTCCTCTCACATTGAGGTTTCCCTCTTTCTCCTTCCCTTCTCCCTCTCTAAAAATATATAAATAAAATCTTTACAAATAAAATAAAAAATGAACTAGTTTCTTTTCTAGAGGGAAAACAACAGAGGGCTTCTTCGGCTTAGAGCTTTTGGCTGTCCCTTTCCCTGTCTCTTACCCCAGGGCTCTGTTTGCTGAGGGTCTCCATTCGAACTCCTCAAGGACACCCAGCACCCAAAATCCACCTCTGGGGAGCAGAGATTGGGTCAAGAGCTACTGGCTTCAGCTGCTTCTGTCTCCTAATATTTCCTTGCTGCCTCTTTCTTCTTTATTTTTTTAAAAGAGATTTTATTTATTTATTTTTAGAGAGGGAGGAGGAGGGAGACAAACATTGATGTGAGGGAGAAACATCAATAGGTTGCCTCTTGTATACATCCCAGGCCAGGTGTGTGCCCTGACTAGGAATCGAACTGGTGACCTTTTGCTTTGTGGGACGCCTCCCAAACAACCGACCCGCATGGGTCAGGGCCTCTTTCTTCTTTAGGTCTTTCCCTTGTCCCCTCCTCCTGCCTGGCTGCTCCTCAACTCAGACAGCAATGAAGTCTCCGCTCACTCACAGCTGAGCAGGCCCAGCAGCCGCAGCTCCATTAACTTCTCACTCCGATCAATCCCTCCCGATGCTGACTCTGCTCAGCGGCTGTCAGCCTCCCCGCTCCCTGCCTCCTCACCTCTCAGCCAAGAGCCCCGTCTGATTTACCTCTGCGGCGCTGCTCCCAGTGTGGACTTCGGGGAGTCTGCCACAGAAAGGGGCCAGGGTCAGGGAGGGAGGAGGTGGCCCTCTGACTGTGGATTTTCCAATTTCTCCTTGTTTAATTGTACCTTGTTGGTTGCACTTGCTTACTCATGCTATATTGTGTGCCTGTGTTTTGTAAGTTTTGACAGCTTTTCTTTTTTTCTGTGAGAACACTTGGCTTGCTTATGTATTTTTTTCCAGTCCTCACCGGGGGCCTGGTCTTCTGTCCCTGTGTGGGCGTTTAAAATGCAAGTGCCCAGTCTGCAGTCACCTGCTGACCCCCACACACCTCTGGCTTCCTGGTTCAGTTTTGCACGGAACTTGTTTTCACTGTATTTTATTCATCTCTAGGAGATCTTTAATGAGAATTTTTTTTCACCAGCCTAGTCCAACATTTTCCCAAGTTCCAAGGCTCTTCATAGACTGGAACAGGCTCCAAAATCTGAATCACAGGATTACCTCAGGCCCTCCCCCTGCTCCACCCTGTTCCCCGGAGGAATACTTCCCCCAATTCTCACATCAGTGTATCTGCCTGGATTAGTTTCACTTGGTTTTTGTCAACTCTCCCCTATCACCGACACCTTCCTCTCCATTTCTGTCCTCTTTTTTCAGAAATGTCAAGTAAGCAGTTGAGGAGTGATATGTAATTGTGTTTGGTTGGGCAGGGAAACCATAGAAACATTACATTTTCGTCCAGCCTTTTGTGTCGGCTGGTTGCAATTATGGCTGGAAGAATGCAAGCTCTCCTGAGGGCACGCAGGCCAGGTAGCTGGCACGACACTTGGGTGGCCGTGGGGAAGGACTTAGTCTATTAGTGGTTACCTTTTTCTTTTTTAACTGTTAATTTTGAATTGTTAATTGTGACCTTTTAATTTTAAAATAAACTGCTACTACATTGCCTTATTATTCTCTTTATATGTATTACTGCTCTTCTAAACCATTTGAAAGCAAGTTGAGAACATGAGGTCCCATTACTCCTTAGCACTTCAGTGTATATTTCCTTAAAACTGAGGGTAGTTGTTCCTATAACCTCTACACAACCCACAAAATCAAGACATTGATATTGATACAACACTTTCATCTACTCCACAGAGTGCTGCTTGTGCCAATGATGTTCTTTAAAAGTGGTGGATCGAATCCAGGGCCACACATTGAATTTAGTTGCTACGTCTCTGTAGTTTCTTTTCCTTCAACCTGGAATGGTCCAGTCAGCCTTTCCTTGCCTTCCATGACCTTGTCATTTTTGAAGGTTTCAAGCTAGCTTCTTTACAGGTCTTCGGCTTGAGTCTGTCTGATATTTCCTCTGATCATGAGGAAGTATCCTCTTCACAGCTCTGCTTACCCTCCCTGCCCCATCAACACGGTGGGTGGCAAAACAGGAGGTATGGGGAGCAACGTGCTCACAAATCAGCTCTGAACCTGTCCTGCATGTTCACCTGCATGTGGGCCCAGGACAGGCTGCATCCCTGCCCTTTGAAACACAGTATCAATAAGAAGAGGTGACCACCAATGGTGAGCAGTGAGGCAGCACCTTGATGTGCAAGCTACAGATTAAGGGGGCGTGGGAAGGCTGGGGCAGAAGGGCAGACTCTGTCCACTTGTCTGTTAGTTATTTACTGTGTGCCAGACACAACCTCGCCCTGACCTCACGGAGTTTACGCTTCATGGGGCCAGGGGCCAGGGGGCCAGAGATGTCAGGCTCCCCTGAAGGGCAGAGCTGGGCTGACACTTAGGCAGAGTGCCTTAGGACTGAAGATCTTTGCCAGCCTCCTGTTTGGTGACCAGGCCTGCTACCGCCTGGACAGCCAGAGTAGGTGTGGTGAAGGAACGGAGCTGGTCTTCAAACGGGCAGTGCCAGAGGTGCCGTAGGAGGTGATATGGAAGGAAAGGCCCAGGGTTCTGACTCTGCTGCCTTCCCACCTGCCCCAAGTACCATCTCTTCCATCCCGGGCATTTGGCTGGACCAGTACTTGGAGGATTCCTTTCAGCATCCAGACCTCCTCTGCCTGAAACAACTGACGGCCTTCATGCACCTCAGCTTGCGTGGCTTGGACCCGGAGTGCTGCGTCCATCTTCTCCAGAGCCAACTCCAGTGCCAGCTCTCATACCAGATCCAGAGCTAGAGTTAGTTCTGGCACCAGCTCCCGCCGCAGACCTACAGCCAGAGCCAACTCAAGAGCTACAACAGCTCCAGGGCCAGCTTCAGAGCTATAGCCAGCCCTAGCCCTAAGGCCAGCGCCTGCACTAGCTCTACCACCAGTGACAGAGCTAAAGCCAGCTCTGGTGCCTGCTATGGTTACATGCAACTTCAGCACCAGCTCTAGAGTGAGAGCCAGTTCCCGACCCAGTGCCATCTGCAGAGCTAGAGTCAGCACCAAAGCTAGAGCCTGTACTGGCTCCAGTACCAGCGTCAGCCCTAATTCTAGCTCGAGCTACAAACAGCCCTTGCATCTACTCCAGCACCAGCTCTGAAGCTAGAGCCAGTGCCAGCTCTAGAGCAAGGGCTAGATCCTAGCACCTGCCCCCAAGCCAGAGCCATACTGAGTGCCAGCTTCAGCACTAGAGGCTGCTCCAGTACCAGAGCCAGCTCTAGAGCTAGAGCCAGTGCCAGTACCATCAATAGCCATAGTATCAGCTCTGGAGCCAGAGCCAATGACAGAGCCGTTAGGAAGTCCAGAGCGAGTACCAGCTCCAGCCCCAGCACTAACAATCAGTCAGGGCTAGAGCTTGCTTCACAGGTAGAGCCAGTCCTTGGACATCTCTAGCAACCAGCTACAGGGCCAAACCCAGTTATACTTCCAACTCCAGAACGAGTGCCAGTTACAGATCTACAGCCAGTGCCAGCTTGTGTTAGAAGTGGCTGTAGCACCAAATCTAGCACTAATGCCAGGGCTAGGTCCACAGCTAGTGGCCAGCACTAGCACCAGAGCCAGAGCCAGAACCAGCTCTTGAGTTCCCTGTAGCTATTTGAGCATATTGAAGACAGTTGATTTAAAGTCTTTGTCTAGGCCTGACTGGTGTAGCTCAGTTGGTTGGGTGTCATCCTATGAAGCAAAAGGAGTCCCTGGTTTGATTCCCAGTCATGTGCCCAGCCAGGGCACATGCCTGGGTTGTGGGCCCAGTCCCTGGTAGGGGCACGTGTGAGAGACAGCCAATTGATGCTTCTCTCACACATTGATGTTTGTCTCCCTCTCTTTCTCCCTCCCTTCTCCTCTCTCTAAATATTAATAAATACAATCTTGAAAATGAAGTCTTTGTCTAGGAAGTCTAATATCTGGGCTTTCTCAGGGATAGTTTCTGTCAATCTTTTTCCATTTGAATGGATCACAATCCTGGAGGGGTTTTTTTGACTATTCAAGGCTGGACATTTAATTATAATATGGTAGCAATAAAAACCAGTTTCTTCCCCTTCCCTAGAGGGTGCTGTTTTATATTATTGAAGGCTACAGTTATCTGTTCATTTGGTGACTTTCCCAAAATACTTTAGCAAAGACTGTCATTCTTGTCATGTGTAGTCACTTGAAGTCTCTGTTCAGTTAGGATTTTGACAGAGATTTCCTTGAATACCACGAACAGAAAACAAACAAAAAAGCCCACGTCTCCCAGTCTTTACAGGCCGACCCTGTGCGGGGGCACTCCCTTAACACTTGGGTTGAGCCCCGGGACCAGCCAGAAGTGAAAGCTCAGGGTCGTCTCAGGTCTTTCCTGAGCATGCATCCTGTCCTGGCCATGCGTGTTGCTTTCTAGATTCCCTCGCACACAGAGTCACACTCTCTGACATGGACTACCTGAACGCACTGCTTTAGCACCTCCAAAGGGTGAAGCTGAGTAAAAACAGGCCCAGGGCCTATACGTCAGCCAAGCCACGCGGGTGACACTGCAGTTGCCCAGGGCAGCATTTCCCCGAGTCTGGGATTCCCAACCCAAGTCCGGGATCACTTTCAGTGGTATCAATAAGGCATTAAGTAACCTCAAGTCTTCCAGTGAGTAAGTTACTTTCCTTGTAGTTCCCATTCCATGTTTCTAAATTTTATAAGGGAGAAAAATCTCAGTTGGGTTGCTAGTATATCTAACTCCTGAAATATCCTTAACCTTCTTTTGTATGGAGAACAAGACTCAAGCTCAGTCTTAGTCTTTGCAGGCCACAGTATGGACCCACAATTTCATAACAATGTTTGGTTTTCATTGGATTCATTTTCAGAGTTACTTTCTATTTATAGCAAGTATAAACTTTCTTTTAAAAAAGCATTTAGATTTAAAAAGGGAGCTAATTATTAAAATATCAATTAACCGTACAAGTATAGATACCTGGCAAAAATCATGAAGGTGATACTCCTGACAAATGAATTTTGGGAAATATCATTCTATAATAAGGACTTTGGGTTCAATAGCTGTTCATTTCATGCTTTCGATTCCGAGGTTTTGTCTCTTCAACTGGTTGTTGCTGTTCCCTAACATCTATTATTGCTGAAAAATGTCAACCTTATTATTATTTTTTTTTGAGGGGAAAGGGATTTATTTTCATACGAGTGAGAAAAAAGAACAACAACAAAACCCTGAAGGTGCCCTAGAGGTACAACTGACAAACAGAAAATGGGTGATACAGAATAAAGTAAAAACCAGGAATGGAAGATTCCAGTAACGTGGAGAGTGCTGCTCCCTTCCCTCTAGGCTCTCAAATACAATTCTGGAAATTCAGTTAAAAAGATCATCTTATAATGGAGAAGAAAGAGAAAGGGGAAAAGCTGCACAATTTTTTAAATGTTTCTCTTTTATTAAAAAAGTTACAAAATCTAAATAGGTGTTCAAGTTAAAAAATCTATTGTTGAGAAATTTAACCAAATAAAAAGATTTCTGGATCTCTTGACTCCAAGTCCAATATTCTCTCCACGTTGATCCTTTATTTCTTATAGATCCCACACTTCCGGGTTTTTCTTTAGAAAACAAATCTGAAGCAATTTATAAGTAAATAATCGGTACTTCAACTGCACAAAGCTCTGGCTGAGGTAGCGGGAGGTCTGGCAGACTGAGCGCCCGTGGGGGCCACACCTAGGTGAGCCCACGCTGCCAGCGCTCCCTGCAAAGAGCCTGAGAGGCAAACCTGGGGCCTTGGGTGCCTCCTGGGGACTGCCAACCTGCCTGCCCCGAGCTTGGGCCTCCTTTTGGGGTCAGCCACAGCCTCGGCTTCATTCCACTTTGATTCTGGTAAGTTCCCATCTTCCTTCTCCGCAGAGTTTCAAAACCAAGGAGTGAAACTACAAGAGATCACCACCATGTAGAAATCGAGCTGCCCTGGCCACGACAACAGGCAGCCATCGACCCCCTGCCCTCTCTGCCACCCCCATCCCCTGTTTTGAGGGGCCCCTGGCCCCGGCCAGGCCCAGCTGTTGGGCTCTTCCTCCTGCTTAGCTATCCTGTGAGCACAGGTACCTTCTCGAGGCTGCGCCGATGTCCCACGCTGATGAATGTCATGCCCAGCTGCTGGCCAATGCGGTAAAGCTCACTCTCCACCTCCTCGGTCAGGGCACTGGTGGCTTCATCCAGCACTGAGGGCAGAACCAAGTGGGAAGAGATGGAGAGCTGTCCCCTGACCGCCTCTGCTTCTCCTTCAACCCATACCTGCTTCCGGCTGGGACCCGGGTGGCAGGCTGAAAGCTGCTCTGGCTCATGGGAACCCTGCCTTAGAGATGAGGGGCCGAAGAAGCAGAGGCCAAGCTCCATCTTGGGAGGGTTTGGCCAGCAGCAACACAAGGTCCCTCAGCTTCCTATACATCAGCACCAAACACTGCCTAGGACCACTCAACCCAGGGAATCCTGGTTCCCCCAAGGATGCTGGTTCCTGGAAAAGTCCACATCAGCTATTCCCCTGCCAGGTATAGCTGGAGGGATGGCCATTCATGGATCACAGAGCATAAAATCACAAGTCATCTCAAGGCAGCTTCAGAGGCTGAGATGGCAGAAAGCTTATTGCAACCCATGCAGACCATTCTGAGGATGCCACACATGGCTACCTTATGGACAGAGCCCTGCCATCCTCTCCTGCAGGCCAGAGAGGCCTGGCCATGCACAGGTGTGCTCTCCTACAATACCAACACCGCCCCCGCTGCGCATGCACACACACTGCTACCGGCTGGTGGCACACACAGCCCCTGGCAGGCACACTCACAGGGCTGGCCTCACCTGCATACTTCGGCTGCAGGTAGAAGAGCCGAGCAAAAGACAGCCTCTGCATCTCTCCGGGGGACAGAACATCGTACCTGCACGAGGGGAATGAGAGAGGACCACTGGAGGACAGAGGATATATTTAGTTTGGCTTTTGCCTAGAACGGGCCTGGGCACGACAAGGTCCTTGCTGCAGAGAGGCTGGCCCAGGACAGATGGATGTCACGTCCCCTTTCAACCACAGTCCTGCTGCCCACACAACGTGAGGCCAAAACTCTGCTCCCCAGGGCATGCAACCTGGACTTTAGGGTCAGGAGCCATTCTATCCCTTCACTCGCCCTCTGGAACCCGCTGTCTTTGGGGGAAATGGCTCTGGAGCACCCCAGCTCCCTTCTTACCAGTTCCAATCGACTTGGTGGTCCAGCCCTTCTGTCCTTGCCACCAAATTGGACTGTAACACACCCAGAGGAAACGATGTCCATAAAAATGCCCATCCCCAACCCCCTCAGTTCCCACGACACACATGCCTAAGACAGATCTGGAGCCCCAGCGGTGTACCCAGGTGGGGTCTGTGGGGGCAATATGCCCTGGGCAGAGAGGAATATCCTACCCCTACCTTGTGTACACTGGTTGGAGCATGGCGACAAGAAAAAGCATGTTGTCTTTGTAATAATAGTTTTATTATTGTTTTAAAATTCACTACACAGAATGTGTCCCCTTTTTGCCCATACCTGGACAACAGGACCCTCGGCCACTGCACACTCCCATTCTCCTTGACCCAGTCCTGGGCTCAGGGACAGCGATCAGCGCTACCAGGCAGGCCAGACCCTGGGGGCCCCTTCCCCTACTTACCAGGCCTGCCAGCTCCAAGAACCTCATGATCCTCTCATCATCAGTAGAACCTGCAAAACAGAGAGACCTCCTTCAAGAAGTCAGCTCCCTCTGGGTAACCAGGGCAGACTGGCTACATCAGGGCAAGGGGGGCGGGGCCTCAGACTACGGGCTCTGAAGTGACCAGTTACAGACCTTAAAAGGGAAAGGCCAAGTGAAGGAAGCGATCACTTCCCTTCCTCCAGGGGGTCCTCTCCTCAAGGAGGGGAAGACAAAACAACATGAGGTTGGGGTACAGGCCTCTAAATAGTAACTGGTCAAAGGAGGGGGAGGGGACCCGACCTGAACCCAGCTGCCTGGCTGTGGCCTCTCCCAGAGGGCACAGGTGAGGCCGCGGTCAGGAAGAGTGGGGACCGCTGCGGTGGGAAGACACGTCCCGGGGAAGCCAGGCTCACCTGAGTCCGGGTAGATCTCCTTCAGGGGATATATCACCTGGGAAAACAAAAAACCACCGACTCAGGACTAGGGCCAACGGACGAGGGCGCGCACACAGCCCACTCCCCGCCACGGGAGGGTAAGGAGCCCAGACAAGGCTCTAGCAGGAGAGACGGGGCCGGCGGACAGTGGGGCCGGTTCGCTGCAACCTCCGGACATGTGTCTAGCGGGGAAGAGTCTGTGAACCTCCGGACGGCAGGGCCCCCTGAATCTGACCTCGGTGTTCAACAAAGGCTGGGATCTTGCGCTGGCAGCCCCCACAGGTTGGTTTACCCCGGGAGTTGCTCCGAGTACATGGCCCCAACCCATGGACGTGAATAAAGTACAGGGGTGGGCAAAAGTAGGCTTACAGCTATGAGTATGCAAAGCAGTTTATTCCTGTATATTAATTATTGTATTATTTATTTGTATTACAACTGTAAACCTACACAACTGTAACCTGACTTTTGCCAAGCCCTGCATTCTTAGAGCCAGAGTTCCTGGGCACAGGCCATTTCAGTGCCCCTCCTTCTGCTGCGTAACTCCCTAGGGCTGAACCTGTCCTACCACCAGGGGTCCCAGCTGGGGGGTGGGGCTGGGGTGAGGGGCGGGTCCCGGGCTGACCTGCTCCCGAAGGGTCCCGTCAGTGAAGAACGGCTTTTGTGGCAGGAACAGCACCCCGTGGGGCCCAAAGTCCATCAGCATCTGCACTGAGCCTACAGAGCCCGTGAAACCTCTATTTTGGGATCTCCCAGGGAAGGTAACTGCTCCTCACCCCTTTGCCCCAACAAAAAAGGCTGGATTCAACTTGCGCACATCTGCAAACCGCCCCCCACCTCGCCCGCCCGCCGGGCCAAGGCTGGCTCAGGGGCTGGGAGGCTGGTTCTCACCCCGTGTGCTCGCCCAGAGGCCGCCCAGAACCCTGAGCAAGGAGGTCTTGCCAGTGCCCGTGTTGCCTGTGATGAGCAGGCTCTGCCCCTCAGAGATCTTGAGGCTCAGGTCCTTGATTAAGGGTTTGTTGGAGGAGGGTGCAGAGATGGAGACCCGCTCCAGAAGAAAAGCTGTGTCCCCTGGCTCTGCCGCTGGCCGTCCTGGGGCCCTGGTTTTAGACAAGGGAGCAGGGTATGAGGAAGATACAGGGTCAGTGTTGCCAGAGGCAAGCTCTTCTCCTTGGGGACATCCCCTCTGGATTGGGGCTGTTCCCGGCTGAATTGTGTTCTTGAATTCAAATGCTGAAGCCTAACCCCTAGTACCTCAGACTGTAACTGCACCTGGAGACCAGGTCTTTAAAGGGGTATTTACATTAAAATGAGGCCCTTATCCAGTATGACTGTTGTTCTCTTAGAAAGAGGGAGAAAGGCCCGCACTCGCAGAAAACAGGCCATGTGAGGGCTCAGCGAGAAGACAGCCACCTGCAAGCCTAGAGGCAGGACTCCGGGAAAACCAAGCCTGCCACACCCTGACCTTAGGACTTTTAGACTCCAGAACTGTGAGAAAATAAATGTCTGCAGTGTAAGCCACCCAGTCAATGATATTCTGCATGGCAGCCTGAGCAAACTGAGAGGGGGCGGGGAGTTGGGGCACCTGCTTTGTGCCCAGCTGGGCCGAGACCCATGCATGACCGATGTTTGTCAGTCTTAAAACTCACGAATCACAGATATTAGCACCAGATATTATTCCTCTGGCAAATGAGGAAACCGAGTTGGTGGCTAAATAACTCGCTCAGGGTCACAGAGCTGAAACTGTCTAATTTGAATGTCAGTGAGTTTCCAGGGTGTCAAGTGTGACAAGGCTGAGGGTAAGAACAGAGGGGTAACTGTTCTGGAGTTTCTGGCTCTCCTTGGATGCCCATCTCCCCCTTGGAACAGCGGCTCTGGTTCCCCACAGCCCCAGCCCTTGCACGTCAGCCTCTGGGCTCAGATGCATGAAGCTTGAATTCTGAACAGGGCAACAGTGAAGCCTTTAGTTTTTAACAGAGTTGAGTATAGGTCCTGGAATTCAAAAAAACTTCCATTTTCAGAAGCTTACTCTGCAGACACTTTCTAAGCACTTTCTATAAATTAGGGTATCTAATCCTTAAACCCTACGAAGAAGCTTCCACTAATGTCCTCTTTTAGAGATGAAGAAAAGTGAGGACTTAAAACAAATCTTTAATGCACAGAGAGGCTGGAAACACCATAGCCTGCAGAGATACATGGAAAAAGACCTCTCTGGGCCTGAGTGAGGCATGGGGACAAGGACTAGACAAGCCCCGAGGCCGGGGGCAGGGGGCAGGGCTCAGAGGGAGGAGGAGGAAGGAAAGGAAGAGGAGGGCTAGCTACTCTTCAGGTTTTTGTCTTATCACAGGCCCAGGCAGGTGTGGGCACTTCGCTTCCACCAGCTGGGGGAGGGTAGAAACTAATACAACAAATGCCAGAAGAGCAATACCAACAACGAGTATTTGCAACACGCCCAGCACAAGACATAGGTTTCTCTTTCATTTGCTCCACACAACTCTGCTGCGTGGCTGGGAAAGGGCAGGGCTCTTGGGTGAACCCCACCTGGGCAGTTCCAGGGCCTGCACTCTCAACCAATGCCAACATTGCCAGCCCAGTGCTCACCGGTGTGAGTCCCACTCACTCTCGTCCAGGGCCTCACCATCCTGTGACTTCAGGGACATGTCCAACAGGGTCTCCTGAAGCTCCCCGATCCTGGGCAAGAAATGAAAACCTGAGGCAGGGGTCTGGGGCCCCAGGTAAGGCAAGAATCCTTTTTCTCTCATGCCCACTGGGATATGGGGAGTTGTTCTGCTCCTTTTCTCATTCAGCCACATATCCCAGTGCACATGTGTTGTTCAAGAACGAGAGGGGTGGAGGCAGCCTCACCTGTGTGTGTAACCAGCCACGTCTGAGAGCGTGGTGGAGAGGTCGATGAGGCGGGTGAAGCAGCTGATGAGGTAAATGCACACGAAGGCGTTCTGGGTGGAACGGGGAGCAGTGAGCACAGGCTTTGACTCCCGGGCCCCACGTGCTGGGCCCCAGGGGTGGGGCGTGGCGCGAGGGGTCACCTGGAGGGATTCTTACCTTGCTGACCAGGGTGCTGAGCTCTGTGGGGCTCAGGTCTCCATAAACACCACTGAAAATGGGGATTGCGATCACAACATAGCTCAGGATGCTGCCCAGATAGTCAAATGTGTTGACACCAACTGTAGAAGACATACGTGTGAGATCTGGGAACATTTCTGTGCTGAGGGGGTGGAGAGCCAGGGAGGGCCTTCTATTCCCTGGACCCTCATGCTCCTGAAGACACACATGGTGAAGGTAAATGGCACCCCCTGGTTAATTCCTTCATCAGAGCAAATGTATCCGTGTAGAGAGGGGAGGGAAGGGGACCATTCCGATCCTGTGGTTCCTGCCTCCCTGGGTTCCCTCCACCTACTGTACAGCCAGAGCTCCTTGGACATCAGCTCCCTCTGGGTCTGAAGGAGTCTCTGCAGCCTGCGGTCAGTCCTCATGTGCTCCACATGCCCAGCTCTGATGAGAAAGGCTGTGATGTCCATGGGGCCTGGAGAACCTCAGACAGGCTGGGGATTCTCTGTCCCTCATCACACCCTCCTTTAGGGACCAAGCCCACCCAAACGATCTGCCCTTCTTACCCTTTCTAACACTAGCACCCATTTATTGCTTCATTCATTCGACATGGTCTTCTTGCAGAAAGAACCTGAACTCTAGACTGGCTGGACCTGGTTCTAATCCTTGCTCTGGTCAGTTACTAGTGGGGTGACACTGACCAGTTATGTAAGCCTGGGAGTCTCAGTTTTCTCATCTGTGAAATGGAGCTTATAATAACCTATGTAACAGGTGAGAGTGAAAATTTCTGAATATAAAGTGTTAGGCAAATGAAGGGGCCCCCATACACAACAGCTGCTATTATTAAACAAATGTACGGGGAGCAGTCACTGAGTGACAGGCTCTGAGCTAGTCTGCCAGTGTGATAAAGAGGTGGGAAAACAGTCCCCATGTTGGAGAAGCTCTCAGTTCAGGGGGGTGGGCAGGCGCCCTGCATTCTCCACCTGGAACATGGAAAGTGTTACATACTCTTCAGGCTGTGGCAACAGACAAGCGTGACCAATAAGGGCGTCTGGGAAAGCGCCCAGGAGGAGGCGACTTGCGGCTCCAAGGAGAGGCAGAAATTCTTTAGGCAGAAAAAGGCTGAAGGTGGTCAGGGGGGCATTTCAGATTTTGCATAAAGATGGACAAAGAGGCCACAGAAGAACACACCCAGCTCTGGCTGGCGCGGCTCAGTGGATTGAGTGCCAGCCTGCGGACCAAAAGGTTGCTGGTTCGGGTCTGGTCATGGCACACACCTGGGTTGCAGGCCAGGTCCCTAGTTGGGGTCGTGAGAGAGGCAACTGATTGTTTCTCTCCCTCTTTCTCCCTCCCTTCCCCTCTTTCTAAAAATAAGTAAATAAAATCTTAAAACACACCCCCCCCTCCCCACACCCACACCCACACTCCAGAGCTCCAGAACCAACTGCTTCCCCCAGAGCCCAGAGCATCATGAGCAGAGGCTGCAGAATCCAAAAACAGTGCAGACTCAGGCCTACCCACCAAACAACCAAACCCCAGCTCCATCCTAACATTCTTGGCGCCCCCAGGTGGTGGAAGAGGCAAAATGCCAGAAGAGCAAAGGTCCCAGGGCTCTTGGATCCAGGTGATCCAAGACTAGCTCCCTATTCTTAAACACAAACCTCTGGGGCTGCCTACCCTATCAGCCCAAACAAAGACTCTAGAGGCCTCATAGGAAGCAACAAAGGACGTTCCCTGGCCCTGTGGGAAGGAATGGGATGTCACAATGCTGCTGTCAGGAGACCAAACACAGCACCACTTGGACTTCACTTGCAGAGTGATGGTGAGGAGCAGAGCTCCTGGGCCTCAGGCCCTCATTCCCTCCTCCTATTTGACAGAGACAAAGGAACAGCCTTGGACGTCAGGCACTGGCCGAAGCCATTGTACAGGAAAACAGAGGCAGAGGCAATGCCTTAAAGCCATCAGCAAGACGAAGCATTCACTCGTTTCATTCTTTGAACAAATTTCGGCCCCGTGCTGGGCTACTACGAGGAACCACTGGCTTCAGAAACAAATTTCTGGACCCAAGAATGAGGCAGACAAGGACAGTGAGAGATGCGAGGAGAGGGTCACAGCCCAGTGTAAGGACACTTGGCCTCTGGGCTTGGTGATGGTGTGAGGGTCGTGCCGCTCAGCTGCCCTTCTCTGCCATCTCCACCGGTAGCTCCGATGAGGCAGAGGGGAACCATTTCCACCAGACTCACCTGTAAAAAGCAGCAGGCTCAGCATTCACCCGGATCTGCATGTGCTTGAACCTGCACAGACCAAAGGAAAATGTGTGCTTACAATGGGCAGTACTGACCCTCTTTGTGGAAGCCTGGGGCAAGACCTCCAAGCCCTGGCTGGTGGCTCAGTTGGTTAGAGTGTTATCCTGATACGCATGCCAAGGTTGCAAGTTTGATGCCCAGTCGGGGCACATACAAGAATCAACCAATGAATGCATCAGTAAGTGGAACAACAAAGAGAAGTTTCTCTCTCCAAAAATAATCAATAAATAAAAATTAAAACAAACAAAAAAACCTCCAGACAAGGGCGAGTCCAGCTCCACCTTGAAATGTCAGCTGCCTCGGCCCTACCCTTCCGTGGAATGTCACGGGGCTGGGTTGGGGGGAAGCCCAGGCCTGCAGACATGGGAGCCCTTCACTCATGTCCAGAAAGGACAGGTGCGCATAGAACTTCCTCCTCCAGGGGCTGGGCCTGAAGGAGGAGGCCATCCGCTGATCTGGAAGGGTGGTTAACACAGAAGCACGTGCCCTGGCCAGTGTGGTTCAGTTGGTTGGAGTCATCCCGTAAACCGAAAGGTTGGGGATTTGATTCCTGGTCAGGGCACCGGCCTGAGTTGCAGTTTTGGTCGCAGTCGGGGCACGTGCGAGAGGCAACCGACCGGTGTTTCTCTCCCTTCTTTCCTCTCTCTCTAAAACCAATGAGCAGGAAGCACCTGAGAAGGCCAAGAGATGACGGTGATGACGGCCAACCAGACACTGTTCTCCGCGCTTTTTGTGTATAATCTCATTAATTCTCACCATTCTCTTGGAGGCAAGAGTACCATCCTCATTTTAGGACAGGAAACCACGTTCAGCCAGGTGAAAGACCTCAGCCAAGAGACCATGGTTAGTAACTGGCATAGGAGGGCTTTGAACTTAGGCAGCCTTACTCCAGATCCACTTCCTTAACCAGCAGGCCCAGCCTAGAAACCTCAAACATGGCAGACACACCTGAAATCCCCCTCCAGCTTTTCCTGATGCACCAGCTTCACCACGATGGGCCCCATCAATATTTTGTTCACCACGGTCCCCAGGATGAAATACCCGAAGATGCTCACAGGCCCGAGCCAGCCTGTGCTGAAAGACAGAGAGAGGGATGGCGGGGGGTGCCGCAGGTCCCCGCAGGCCTCAGCCCCAACTCCTGCCTCCTCTCGGGCAGCCCCTGTTCAATCCCAGCAGCCCTGCGAGGCCTCAGCTCCTGTGTGGCGGCCGTCAGAGCGTCAGGTCCCTGTGACATGGAAACACCATGGGGCCGACGCAGGGGCCCGGGCAGGCCAGATGAGAGGACTGGCGGGAGGGAGGGAAGGCTAGCCTCTTTTGGACGCTGACCTGGGACAGCTGGTGTGAGTGAGGGACCTGTGGGGAAACCCCTGGCAGGGGGGGAGGAGGAGGGACTCTAACAAGAGAGTTTTCACCTTTGGAAGCACTGATAGGTGTAGTAGACCAGGGTGAAGGGGGAGATGATCAGCTGGCTGGCCATGCTGCTGAGCTGCCGGCAGAACCGCTCCACGTCCTGGCTGATGCGCTGGTCCCTGGAACCAACAACACAGAGTGACTGGACCCAGGGAGCGGGGCTCAAGGGTTGAGAGGCTAAGGCAGTTCCACGTTACCTTGCCGTTCAGAGACCCTGGGGGAAGATGGACCCAGACAAGGGCTGGTTTCCCAGAGGCAAGGAGACCCTCAGGACCTCAAAACAGGGTTCTGGAGAGCTGCTTCTTATGGTGTCTCAGTTTACCGCTCAGAAAAGTGACAACTGAAAGGTTCAGCACCCAGGGGTCCTGACCCCGCGCTGAGGGCAGATAAGCTGAGTTTCTGGACGATCGGGGGAGCCCTCCCACTCTCCCACTTATCTCTCTTCTCCCCATCTCTCTTTCATGAGCCTGAGTCTGTCCCCATTTAGCTACCTGCCCGTGGAAGCTTCTACAGGTTGAGCCATAAAGAGGCCTAGGAGCAAGAGGAAGCGGCAGTAGGAACCCCCACAAAAGCTTTGCTGCAAAGCTCAGCTTGAGCTGAGGAAAGGTCACCTCAGGCAACAAGGTGCTTGGGAGGGTGGAGAGGAAATGAGTATGAGGAGAGACCCTCGCATGTCCCATCGCACCCCCAGGGCCACAATGACTCCTATTTCCCACGAGAGACGTGACCTTGGGCATGCCACCTGCATCCTCTGGGCCTCGGTTTCCTCACCTGTAAAATCGCAATAGCTAACTCACATTGGAACGCCTGCTATGTGCTGGGCGCTATGTGTACTACATGAAGATCATTTCATCCTCGTTATATTCTTTTAGATAGGAACTACTGTTGTCCCCATTTTACAGAAAGCGAACCTGGGGCTTAGTGAACTTATGGCCTATAAACTGGGAGGCAACAGTATTAAGGTTTAAGTCCTAGATTGGGTCCTAGACAGCAATTTTTTACTGTTGAAAATCTGAGGCGAGCTGGTTTTCTAGCTTTTTCTAGCAAGGGTACCCTCTTCAGAGGGGACCTGATTTGGAAATCAGGATGTGAACAAAAGGGAGCTGCTCCTATCTTTAGCTCCCTGTTCTCAGCCCTGCAGCCTCTCCAGGCCTCCTCTGCAGAGCACCTTTCCCCTATGGCTCCTGTCAACATCTGCAGGTAACTGCAGGTAATCTCCAAGGGATCTGCCCCCGGAACTCTCCAGGGCTGATCCAGACAGCTAGAACAGTGCAGAGGGTAGCGAGGGCGGAGAGGGGAGACCTACGGGTTATCAACATCATCCCGCAGCACGTTGAGGGTGTAGTACACGCGGCCGCGGAAGTAGAGGCGATGGAGGTGCTCGGTGAGGTCCTTCCTCCAGCTCACATACAGCAGGTTGCAGGTGAACTGGTCAAAGCTCTTCAGCTGTGCAGGGGGGAGGCAAGGGGAAGGGAGGGAAAGGGAGAATGGCTTCCTGAAGACTCGGCTCACAGCTCAGGGCGGGCAGGAAGCATCTGCTGACCAGTCCCAGCCCACTCTAATTACTCTGTCCACTTAGCACTTCTGCTTCTTTAAAACAAGTCATGGGACTTCTGCCTTCCTCACTCATGAGTTCATTCCTTTACCGAATATTGAAGGGCTTACCAAAAGTAAGGCCCACTAGTTACAATGTAACATTCTACTGTCTTAATCTGAAGGTAGATGAGCTTCTGGAGACTGGGGACAATATTTTCTATTCTATTTATGTTCTTACTTTTCTGTCCCAAAACATGGAACAAGGTTCTGTATACATAGCAGCTTATTGGCCAAAGGTACATTAAAAGTGCCAAAGTGTGATGAGAAAAGACTTCTCCGAGAACCATGAACAAGCAGTACAGTCTGACAGAGTCCTGGCAGGGCGCTGACCCTCACCACTCCCCGTTTACGGAGCACCTGTGGCTAAGCACGCGGGAAGTACAATGCGCTCGGTCTAGCCAGGGAACGACACCTACAGGGGTGCAGGGAGTGTGACAGCAGAGGTGAACTCAAAGTATTGAGTATGTAGAGAAAAGGACAGTCTGGTGGAGGAAACATGGGGGAGAAAGTTGATGGGGACTTGAAGGTGACAACAGAGGAACCCTGAAAAGTGGGCAGGCATTAACCAAGTGAACGCAGGGTCGGGGAAGGAGGCCGTTCTGCAAGAAAACAGCAGGGGCAAAAGCTGGGAGATGTGACAAGGGGCCCGCTGAGTCACAGCCTCAGTCCCACAGAGGAAGAGCAGCTCTGGCTGCTAATCCCAGGTGTTCAAGTGCTCAGAGCTTCCCGAAGCAAGAGTTCTGGGAACGAAAAGAACAACGTTCATCTCCACTAAATGCTGCAGTAAACCAGAACCTTGTGGCCTAGTCCTGGAAGCTTGAAACACTTGAGGAATTGGTCCACGTGGGCCAATAGCAAGATCACCGCCCTGGCTAGGGCTCTGACCTCAAGTTCCTAGAAAAGGGAGGGGACACACGCCCACAGCTTGATCCCTGCTTCCTAGTGGCTAAGCTCCACCGAGCATTCCACTCCTCTTAGGCTGGAGAGCAAGAGACACAGGTAGAAGACCTTACCATGGAGTTGAGCACAATGAGCACGACGGCCAGGAACGTCAGGGCCTTAAACCCATCCAAGTCTTTGTTTCCCAGGACCCTGTAGTACTGACTGGGGATCAAGCCAACCTGGTAGATCACCAGTTGCTCTGGGGGGAAGAACAAAGGAGTCAGAAATCAGTGATGAGGGGTGCAAAAAGAAGGAGAGAGGCTTCCTCTTGAGTCCCTGCCTCATCAACACCCCAGAGAGAAGGAAAGGGACCCCAAACCTGGGCTGCGCTCCCCCATTTAGCCTGGGCTCGCTCACTCACCCAGGAGGGCCACACATAACAGGGTCAGGAACATCAAGGCATTCTGCGATGAGCAAGAGGGAAACAAAATCTTTTGTATTTGCAGGAACCGCTGGAGAAACTGCAGATCTAACTTGGGCCTGAAGAAGAGAAGGAGAAGCAGAGAGAAACCTAAGAGGGCAGCTGAGCCTTAGAAAGTAGTTACCAAGCTTAGCTACAGTATCTGGAGGGCGGGGAGGAGGGGCACTGTTCAGGCCATGCAGATGCTAGGCTGGGAAGAGACCCGGGACAGAAAGGAGTTTCTTTAAGTTGAATAATGCTATAAAAGGTTATTCACCAAAAATCTACAGTAGAAAACATAGTTACTGAAAAAACTTTAGCCACATCCTCTTTATGGTCACAAACAAGACAAGGAAGCCCACTTCATCAAGGATTTTAAGGCACTGGCTAAAGGGATAAAGCAGGAAAAAGAAGTGAGGTAGAAAGACCGAAAGGGGAGAGATTAAATTGTCATTACTTGCAGATGATGTGATTATTTACAAAGGGAACACAGCAAATAAGTAGACAAAATGTTAGAAATAAAAGAAATTAAGCTAGCTATAGGGTTAACATACAAATATCAATAGTATTCTATCCCAACAATCACCAACTAGAAAATATAAAGAAAATGTCATTTACAAAAGTGAGAAAAGTATAGAAAAACTATAAACTATCCAAGAAGTTACCTTAAAAAAAGACTATATAAGACATTTTGGAGAAAAACAAAAAACTCTATTATAAGATGTAAAAGAAGACTTAAATAGAGTTGGCAGGACTTAAATGATAAAAACCTCATTTCTAACAAAAGCAGTCTATAAATTCAACATACCAATCAAAAGCCAGGCTTCTCTGAGGAACTTTATATGGAAATAAAGGTCCATGAATAGCTTAGGACAATTGTGAGGAGTAGGAAAGGAGGAGGAAGAGACCCAAATCATTATTATGAAGACATATCATATTACAGGGCTGCAGTAATAACGAAGAGTGGTATTAATACAGGAATAACAAAAGCAGTGGGACAGAGACACCAAAAAAAAAAAAAAAGGCCTATGTTTACATAAGCACATAATAGAGGTTACATCACAAGAAAGGACATATTAATACTAAAGTTGTCAACATTTATTAAAATGTCCTATGTGTCCAGTACTGTCCTGCCTGTGTTTTACATGTATGAATAGATTTCACTGTCACAGCCCTGAGAGACGGAGACTATATCCTATTTATGCCCGAGGAAGGAGGTGGAAGAAGGTAAATAACTTGCCGTCACCCGCCTGGTGTGGCCGCCTTAGGGTTTGAACATAGAGAGCCTGGCTCTAAGAATCCATGCTCTTAACTCTGCGACACAGTTTCTCTCATTTTAAATTATTAATTCATTCCTTATTAATTAAACATGGTGGAGGAAAATTTAGGTCATTAACTTCAAATCACTGACAAAAATAAACTTTAAAATCTCCAAATGGATTAAAAATCTAAATGTAGAAAGTAACACTACTATTTAATAATAAAAGGAAATGTTGAAGGCTATTTTAATGAAGGTAGAGAGGGAAGGCAATTCTTAAAGACCCCAAAATCACAAACTATAAATGGGAAAACTAATGGATTTAATTTATAAGTAAACATTTTTTGTTCAACACAATGCTATAGATTAAGTTAAAAATTACAGAAGGTATTTGCACAGGGTTAAACCAACAAGGAATTAAAATTCAGAGCATACGAGGAATTCATGTAAGTCAGCAAAACAGGAAATCCACAGAAAAGTATACGGGCAATTCAGAAAAGGGGAAACCGGGCAATTCAGAAAAGGGGAAACCCGAACGCTTAATACACGAAAATTAACACAATGGGATATCACCTTACATTCAATAGACATTAGAAAACCACACAATATCCAACGTTGAGTGGTCGGGGGATGGGGGTGTGCGTTAGATATGGGGAAAGAGGAATCTTGACTCCATGACCTCGCAAAATATAACCTGGTGTGACCATTCCAGAGAGAAATTTAGCAGAATAGGTAAGATCTAGCATCCTACTCTGGGGTGGCTAATTCAGAGAAAATCACCCCTATTCTATAAGGAGACAAGTGCCAGTACGGTTTGTGGTGGTTAAAAATTGGAAGCAATCTAAGCGTCCATCACTAGGGGAATGTATAAGTAGGTAAGATCTAATGCACTTAGGGTAACACTATGTAGCATTCAGAGATGGAAACCAGATTACTATAGCATATATGATCTCAAAAACACAATGTTTAATTTTTAAAGTTTTTAAAAAGTCACATTATCATTCATTTATATGAATTCAAAACCAGTACTTGTCAAGGTAACGTACACGCAAACTTATGCAAAGTGGGCTGTAAAAACATTCTTTTAATACACCAGAGCGTGAGTCTGAGAAAAGGAAGGAGAAGGGTTCGAGAATAAGGAACGAAGGGCAGAAAATGATAAAACACAAGAAGGGCCTTGGGCCACAGTGTGCCAAGAACTGGGAAGGATGAACAACTCAATTCCGTGCACTTGAGGGGAAAGAACGGGAGGAAGTAAAGAAAGGGCTAGTTCTGAGCGATCGGATCCCACATCCAGGGTGCAGGAGATGGCAGAAGTTCCCGCGAAGCTGGAGGACGGTTTCGGATCGGAGGAAGGGTGGGCGCCCTTTCGGGATCTCTTCTTTCGCGGGGGTGGCGGCTCTCCGAGCGCCTCGGACGCGGGCGGAATGGAATAGAGCCGCTTTCCAACAGAGCCCCGAGTAGGACGCCCTAAGGGCTGACCTTCCTCCCCAGATGTCCTGCTTACCTGGCGGCAGCCCCAGGCGCGGGCCCCGGGACTGCCATGACCCTGATTCCGGCCGGCCCCAAGTGCGGCTGCCCCGGGACCAGCTCGGGCAGAGTCCAAGAAACCCGCGGCCGCCGGGAGAGGGGCGGGGCCCCGACGACCACAGATACGGGCGGATAGAGAGGAAGAAGCTGGAGGACGCGGCCACTCCCGGAAGCGGCCGATTTCTCTGAAATAACCAAAGAGTGCCGAGCGCTACATTCGGCCGACCCGGTGCCTAGAGCGCCCTCTTCTGGATATGGGAGGATTCCCCTTTCACAAGAGGTAGCTGAGAAATGTGTCTTATTTTATGTTATGCATTTTAGACTGAATATAGTAGATGTTTCATAAATCCTCCCAAAGAAGCCGTAGTGATCTTTTAACAACATAAGTCAGCGTTTCAACTGAAGTTAGAATAAAATCCAAACGTTTTCACGGTATTAGCGATCAGGTCCTTCGCTTGGTCTGCATTGAATGATCAGCCAGTCTTTCCAACTCAGCGTCTTTGCAGTTGAAACTGCCTCCCCCTGGGTCACTCTTCCCATAGGCCTGAAGCTTTCCATGACTGGTTCATTCATTAGTGCAATAGTCATCTGCTCACTCTACTGAGAATAAGTTGTCCAGATCCATCATTCTATTTTTCTTCAAAATATTTATCACTGAAATTATCTTGTGTCCTTGCTTATTGTTTGCCTTCCTCTATAAGAATAAACTTCACCCCTGGTTGGTGTGGCTCAATGGACTGAAGGGTCGGTGGTTCAGTTCCCAGTCTAGGGCACATGCCTGGGTAGGGCCAGGTCCCCAGTTGGGGGCTTATGGGAGGCAGCTGGTCAATGTTTCTCTCACACATTGATGTCTCTCTCCCTCTCTTTCTCTCTCTTTTTCCCTCTCTCTAACAAATAAATAAACTTCATTTGAGCGAAGTTTGACTATGGCTTGCTCGTTGCTGTATTCCTAGTAACTAGTGTCAATCCCTGAGAAAGAAAATTCCTACCAAGAAGGGCTCCTGGTGGCTAAGTGGGCCCAGATATTAAACACACAGCGATAAGAAAAACCAGAGCCTAGCAGATGTTTCTAAACAGGGGCCTCTTTACAGAAAGCCACTCTTGAGGGAGAAACCAGCACTAAAGTGTGTGGCATCCATACTGAACTGCCTGCCTACATTGTGTTCCTACTGATGAACCTACCCTTTTAAAGAAGTTCCTGGAATTGTATCACAACCAGTAGGACTAAGATTTTCCCCTCCAATTGGAGCTGCAAAGCTATATCCTCATTAGCATCTCCATTGATTAATCAGAGCAGCTCCCTCCCGACAAATCAGGACAGTGTTTTTTTGGACAAATCAAACTGCGGGGATTTGGAATTCTCATTTGTATGAGAACCACCCATCAGGGATAAATTGCAGGGACTTCTCTCCTATATAAGTCAGCAGGACTGGAGCTGAAACCTCATGGGACCAGAGCAGAACAGAGTAGACTGGAGCAGAGCTGCAACACTGCTCTGCTGTTTCATAATTGAGCTGTAACATTATTGAGCTGTCCCACAGCCATGCTATCATGCTGTTTGCACTGAATAAAGTCAGCTCTTTCACCACACCTCAAATTGGGGATTCCTGTTGCCGTCAAATTGTCACCAATGACCATCAGTTGACATTAGAATACTATTAATATATAATAAGTGCTTAATAAGTATTTGTCACATATTGAAGAATGAAATGCTTTTCAACTGACTCATTACAGTACTGAAGGGGAGGTAGGAAATGGTTCAAAAAAACAAGCAGCATGATCTCTCAGGTCCCTATTTGAATTTGGATGTACCTTCTCATCTTCCTTCAGTCCTTATTGTCAATTACTCAGCAAGATACCTGTATCACCTATCTTCACGGTGCTGGCTGTCTAACTGAGAAGGCCAACTAGTTGACCATCACAGCTGTCTTTTATGAAGTGCTATGACAAAGGCACCATACAGCAGAGTTTCCCAGCCTTGGGCGTGATAATTCTTTGTTGAATGAGTGGGGAGGTTACCCTGTGTATTGTTGGATGTTGAGTAGTATCCTACCCACTAGATTCTTCTACCTACTACATTCCTCTCCCAACCTGGTTGTACCAACCAAAAACTCCTCCAGACATTGCCAGTTGTCTTTTTGGTGAGTGGGCGTGGGGGTGGGGAGGAGCAAAATCCCAAGCCTTGCCCCACCCCGCTAGCATTAAGAAGCACTGTCCCAGAGCCTCCGAGAGGACCATCCAACTCAGGAGGGAAAAAGGGAGTGCAGACTTTGTGGAAGACAAGATAACTGAGTGATTCCTAGAGATGGCAAGAGTTTACCTTAGTCCCAAGTGTGATTTCCCAAGTATGTCTTTGTTACTTTGTGTCAGGATGCAATTTCTGAAAAATTAATGAGGCTGCAGTACAATACACAGATGATGTATTATAGAATTGTACACTTGAAACCTATATAATTTCATTAACTAATGTCACCCGATACATTCAATTAAAAAATTAATAAGGCAACCAAAGAATTAAGGCAAGCAACCTCCCCTCTCTAGGGCAATCCAGGTTTACAGCTCTGTTGTCTTTCACTCTCAAAAGTGTTCTGGTTTGGTGTTTAGAGGCACCACTGTCCCAGGACTCCTGAACACTGTATATTACTTTAAACTTTCAAAAGTATTGCTCCCATACCAACTGGATTTAAAGTATGATCTCAGCTATGGAAATATGAATGTATGTGTAGGAAATACTGTAATGAAATATGACAAAATGCTATATATATATAAAATTCATTAATATATCTGTTGAAAATTATCTTTTTAGATATTTTAGATAATTTCCAACTCTTTAATTCTGAAATGGGGATAGTGGGAAATCTAATGAAACACCTAACATTAAAAAAAAAAATTCCTTAATATCAAATAACCTGTGTTCAAATTTCCAATTATCTCAGGATGTTTTTTTTTTGTTAAAATAAAAAAATCATAATTTAAGTAAGGTCCACACAGTGCAGTCGATCGATACATCTTTTGAGACTTTTAATCTACAGAGGCTTCCTTGACCCATTTAGACCAACCCCTATTAGCTCCCTCCTGCCCTCCTGCAGAACCCCCCCAACTGGTTTTCCACTTGCACGCTTGCTCCTGTTAGTCCAGTTCCTGCAAAGCAGCCAGGGAATCTGCAAAAATGTAAACCAGATTAACAGCTCCCTGAAACCCCTTCAGTGGTTCAAAAGGCTCTAGAGCTCTTGCCCCACCTACCACTCGTTTCTTTAGGGACCAGGAAACAACCTTGTCCCCCTCCACTCTTCTGTTAATTTCTACTTTCTCTGTGTAATGTCCCTTCCCCAGAAAGTCCTTTCTGACCACCCTCTCTGAGAAGGGCTCCCCGTAGCACCCCATTTTGTCTCCTGATAGTGCTTATCACAGCTTGTTATTATACTTCCATTTTGTGTGTTTACTTCAGTAATGCCCTCTCTCTACAGACTATCAGCTCCATGGCCCCTGCCTATTACGTTCACTGCTACTGTGTCTCTATTGTCTAGAAGCACTTAGTAAGGGCACAATAAATATAATTTTTTAAATTTTTCAATTACAGTTGACATAAAATATTGTATTAGTTTCAGGTGTATAACATAGTGATTAGACACTCATATAATTTATGAAGTGATCACCCTGATAAGTCTAGTATTCATCCAACACCACACAGAGTTATGACAATATTCTTGACTATGGATTTTTTAAAAGATTTCATTTATTTATTTTTAGAGAGAGGGAAGGGAAGGGAGAAGGAGAAGGAGAGGAACATCCATGTGTGAGAGAAACATCTATCAGCTGCATTGTCTCTTGCAGGATGCCAGCCGGGGGATCTGGCCCACAAGCCAGGTGTGCACCCTGACTGGGAATTGAACTGGTGACCTTTCATTTTGTGGGATGATGCCCAGTCCACGGAGCCACACCAGTCAGGGAGACTATGGTTTGTTTTTAATTAACTAGTTTTTTAAGTTAAAAATTTGAAAACACATGGTAAAATTTTCATGCACATAATAAGGCATATAATGGAAAATAAATCTGTATTCCATCCCAGAGGCAACTAGTGTTTACTGTTTCTTAGGAATCGTTCCATAAATGTTTTATACATGTGTAAACTTACATGTGTGATTGTTTTTCAAGCACACACTTATTTTTTCCTTTTGTTTTTAATTTTTTTAATTTTTAAAATTTATTGATTTGAGAGAGAGAAAGAAACATCAATTAGTTAATTCTTGTATGTGCCCAGACCAGGGACTGAACCAGCAACCCTGGCGCATCAGGATGGTACTCCAACCAACTGAGCCACCTGCCAGAGCTATCTTTTTCTTTTTAAATGCTCTGTCTTGAAGCTTGCACTTTACATTCTACAGTATTTCCTGGAGATTGTTCCATATTATACAGACTTACCTCATGCATAATAATTCATTGTAAAGAGGAACTATTTATTCAGTTCTCTACTGCTGAACATTTTAGTGGGTTATATTCTCTTGCTATTACATGGAATGCTGCAATGAATATCCTTGGACATAGCCAAAATATGATGAAGTTTAAAAGAAGGCATATTCCATATTTTTTAATATATTTTTTTAAAGCATGTTTGTGTGTGCATGAGTATGCACCCACTGAAAATGACTGTATCTGTAAGAATTAGGAATATAAGGAATGGAGAGAGCAAAAGACAGTTTGAACAAAAAAGCCTGTATGTTTAAAGTGGGTTTTTAAAAAATGTCATCTACATAACAAAACCTTCCTAGAGGTTGTCTCCCAGTATAGGACTGATCACTTTACCTTCTGGCCCTCACAGACTGTGGTTTCCACCTCAGTTACAGGGTTCTTTCTGCCTAATCATCCTTACATCCTGCGATACCCTGCCCAGTGCCTGACAGTAGAGCTTGTTCATCCAACCCTTTGGAGGTGAATGAAGCTGCTCTTCTGATCCCAGTTTCCCTGTGTATGTGATTAGGATGGTAAAACAGACCACAGCTTATGGCCATCATGCGAAATTACTAAACAAGATGAAACTGTGTAAAAATGTTACCGATTCAAGGTCTGTGCGCCCAACATTCAAAGGCCAGTATTTAACCTTGTTA